AAGATATATCCTTTGACCTTAATTAATTGTAATGGTGATAACTTTGACATGTCTCCACTGATCCACTGCAACTTTGCAGGGCTTCAGAAACCTTTTACCTTCATGCAATGGCATAATCGTCGCCTCAATAAATAAATTAAAACCCAATAATACACAAAAAACTGATGAGGATATTGTCTTTAGTGTCACCTGGCTGTCCGAGTACATGGTATTTTTTGTTGGCAATACCTAGCCTTTTGATCTCTTTAACATATCGATAGCTACATCCACCGCCTGAAAACATACTTCCCAAAGTTTATATCAATTGAAATACTTGGCTTATTTCTACAGATACCAGCTCGGGACTCATCCTCCATCTTACCCGTATCCCAGACATAGTCGGCATTACCTTCTTCCAGTCTGATCTGTCGGGTATTTTCATTTGAACTTTCTCATCGTACATAATTTGGGACCATGGCTTCAACGGGCATCCTCAGAACTCAAATTACTTATTTTAAGCTGGCAGTCTATTGGAGCCCGTTCCTGCATTAGCTGGTGAATTGTGGCTCTATACTTTCCATGGATGAAGATGTATATTATGATAAGTAAAAAGATATCGGAAAATTAATTGACATTATTTCCAATTCCAATAACGAACAGTAATTACAATAATAATTAAAAAGCAATTATTAAGTAATAATAAATAAGGGTGTAGGCAAATAACACGCTGGAGTAATTGAAAGCAATATACGTACACAGGATATAAATGACGAAAAAGAAATATAATTTATATACACCACTAGTTTAATTAATGAATCAATTAACTGGTTTACAAATGGGAATGTCAATATAGCAAAGTATCTTTGTGCTTATAACCTTAATGGTAGTCAGTGTTATATATTAGTGTAAAATATTAGTTTAGTAGGAATACCACTCCTGCCCAAACAAATCCATTATTTATTAACACTTGTGTCATTACTTAATCAATCATAAATATCTTATTGTAGAAACAATGGAAAATCTGCTGTTTGAACCTAAATATTAGGGCGTCGGTGGATGCAATGGTGTAGGCGTTGAAACGGCGCTCATCACTGTAAGGTAAAGGTCCCGGGTTCGAATCCAGCGGCCCTGCATTCGAACCCGCCATACTTACAAATGGGCTTTTTTTCAATAACACCGGCACCCCGAGGGTTGATATAACCTCTGCTGTTGTGAACCCTCGGGGGAAAAAAACTTAATATTTTGTGTGGTGATTAGTGGCCGTTAGTCGATAATTATTCAGAAATCGTGAGATGCGGTCTGGTGTGATGTAGGTTTCAGAAAAACATTTCTTTATCGTGCCAACGTTTCGATCTTTATTGAGATCATCTTCTGGGCCTGGGATTTACAAACATTGTTTAAATTTAACAAATACATGTAGGATGTGGAAAAAAGTGAATTTATACAATGCAAAAATATATATATTTTTTATATTCAATCAAAAGATTTCTACTCACTCAAAGTGTTCGTTTTCTGCGTAAGTGTGCCATTCTTGCGGGTCGTGTTGAGAGTGCCAGTGAGATATTGCTTTTTATGTTTATATACGTTTTTAGAAATGGTTTACGTCAACCGAGATAAACACAGCATCAATTACTGAACAGACACATTTAAACTCAGTCGCAACTACGCCAATATCATTAATCAAATTCAATATAGATAACATGCATATATCATCGCAACACACAAAACGTATAATATAACATATAAATCATTCATCACATTCCACACATCAAACATTTCTACATAGTCTAATTTTTCAACAATTTAGCTTTCTTTTCCTATTTATCCCCGTTTATATAATCCTGAAAGGATAATCTGGACGCCGACTCCTTATACAAAAATGTCTTTCTATACCGACTTTCTTCCCCACCCCTTCACAATCCAACGTATATAAACACAAAATAGCAAAATCTTACTGGCACTCTCGATACGACAAGCAAGAATGGCACAATTACACAGAAGACAAACACTTTGAGTGAGTAGAAATACTTTGATTGAATATAAAACATATAATTATTCAGAAATCGTGAGATGCGGTCTGGTGTGATGTAGGTTTCAGAAAAACATTTTCTTTATCGTGCCACGTTCGATCTTTATTGAGATCATCTTCAGGACCTGGGATTTACAAACATTGTGTACATTTAACAAATACATTTAGGATGTGGATACTATACACTAATCACCACACATAAAAAATCCTACATGTATTTGTTAAATTTAAACAATATTTGTAAATCCCAGGCCCTGAAGATGATCTCAATAAAGATCGAAACGTTGGCACGATAAAGAAATGTTTTTCTGAAACCTACATCACACCAGACCGCATCTCACGATTTCTGAATAATTACTTAATATTTTGTTAAGGCATATCATGCCTATTCTCTTTATACATAATAATCACAATTTTTTTATTGTACACGGCGAGAATTGGCGGACGAAGCAGATCGAATTTTATCAGAATAATAATTTTTTACATAATTAACATTTGCTAAAGACATATGACATGAGAAGACGCGAATGATAAATATAGAACATGTTTGATCATAATAATGATAAATAATCATTTAATGTTGATGGTACTTCTAATCATGATAAATTCGCTAGTATATAAGAGAAAAATAAACCGAACTATCCTTGGTTAAATTTAAGGTTTCAAAAATATCTAAACTTTTTTTTAAATCAGTGTTTATATATCAAGTGTAATAATTTTTGTACTAGGAAACTGATCCTTAGGAAAGTTTTTCAAGGGTGCGTCAAGCCGTTGGCGTGAAAATGGTCTTTGTAATTCTTACAGAACGGCTCGGTTTCGCGATTTATTGTCCGTTGTCCGCTGTGCCGGCCTCCGACAAAGTGCTTTTGTACATTGTGACCCGGCAACAAAAGGGGAGTGCCCGTCATCAAATGATCATTGACTCTTAATCACCCCGAAGGCCTCATCGGGAAGGAAACCGATTTTATAACCCTTAAGGAACTTAGTGTATGTATAACTGTCAAGAAAACCAGACGGCCAGAAAAAAACGACGAAATTTTCCTTTATACTACTTGTTATACCTCAAAGTTACTCCTTGCACTTTTCTTCGTTCGGGAACACAAGCGTATTACAAACGGGCCCTACTGCTCTCATTCCCTCTTTAATATCTTCCTTGTAATGAACAAAGAACCGTGTGTAAAACATGGTGAATCATCGTCTATCTTCCTTATCATCTATCTGTTACCATTGAGGGATAATTTAAATCTTAGCGTCCACCATTAATAAAATGTCAGGGATTTCATTGCTAACGAGTCATCCGATAAGAAGTAAAAAACTTATTAAACACTGTCTCCGGCTTTTAAATTGGTAAGACAGCCCATTTCCTTTGCATACCAAGTTTTATCTCGACTGTTCCATCTACGGCCTACTATTTCAGTACGACTCAAGTCGAAATTTTCCGATCTCCATCCACTATGTACGCAGTAAAGGTAACATCTTCAGATCTTAAAGAAACAAACGTCATGGATAATTTGGTTGTAGCAAGTTGGTGTTGGTATGGTAAGGTGGTGTTGGTTGGTCCTTAAAACCTTGTAAAAGACACGACTCTTAAAGCTAACCGTACCCCTCCGTAGTACCCCTGCCACCACATGACATTCTATAATGGTTCAAATTTATTTCACCTCTCATTTCTCTACGTTCGTTCAATAAACAGACTTATTATGTTATCATCCTAGAATTCATAGAAATGATGAATGGTGGAGTGAGTGCGGTGTTCAGTCCTTTTTAAAAAGATAGTTCCTACTCATAGCAAGTTGTTTTTTAACGTCCGGATTTCGAGCTTTTAGCTCATCATCAGGTTGAAGGAGTTTAACAACAACTACGTCTCTCGACATGAATTGGAAAAGTACTTGGTTGGAAAACAACTTCCTGTGAGTAGGAACTATCTTTTTAAAAAGGAATCCTATAATTCAGGCTAACTGGCTTAGCAATCATTGGTTTTAGTAGCTTAGCACTTTCTGGGGTTTCTCTTCGCTTATTTTCTTAGATTTTAAATCCAAAGAGGCTATATCAATTCCGGGCTGATGCTTTGCAGTCTAGTCAAGATCTTTCTGTCACAGTTTTCCGTTTTTGTTGTGATTAAATGGGCAATAGCCAATATAAAGGACTATTATTGTCCTTTATTATTGCCTAATGAGAGGATATATATATTTGTTACTGTTTATGATTTTGAGGAACTTGTTTAAATTAGGGTTGTTTAGAAACTGTGATTCATCCAGTGTTTGGTAATTTGTGTTGATTGGCGTGCCAATGGATGAACCCATGAACTGATCGACACTTACCACTTCACTGGCTTCTTTCGATTCACTCCTAGGAGTTTCGGCTTCACATTCTTCATTGAGGAACTGTAAAAAAATTAATTGTTGTGCAAAAGGAAATAGACAAACGTCCTAGAGTGAACAATGCCATACGGATTCTTTGCATGATCTAATCTTATTAACATACATTAACATTAGACTGTAGTTGAATAATTGAATTGGGCGTATCGTTTCTTTGTTATGTATAAACTAAAGTACAAAATTGTGTTATTTTTTTAACCTGTCTGTTTATAATCACACCTGATAGAACCAATAAATCTCAATCAGTGCAAACTTGCATTCGTTAAGCGTACTTCCTACTTAAAGTCCTTAAGATCGGCGTTTATTTTTACACAGACCAAGGTTCGGAAGGAAGGGCACCGTCGAATTGTCGTCCCTAGTCGATTCGCCTTTGCCATTTCGGTTGTAATCGTGTTTTACGATAGAAAGGCTTAGATAGCTTACGGATGCATATCGCACACTTGGCCCTCGGAGATTATCTTTGACATGCAAATCGTTTGCTTCTTTGATCGAGTGGGAGATGAAATTTTTCTACGACCCATTCGGAATACATTACGTGACTCGTTTTAGAAAATTTTACTCCTGGCTTTCTTTCATCAAAGTTTTATAATTTCATCTTTTTTTTCTTCTTCCAGGGCGAAGCGGCGGGGCGGCAGGAAAGTCGCGGAAGGCGAGGCTTACAACCAAACACCACCAGACACTGGACAAGATAAGTGCAAGGTTAGTTTTAAGTTTCACACGTGATGAAATAATAGAGTTGTCTATGATGGACTGATGTCAAACTGATCATAACTCGGTCCGTCTATTCCGGCCGGTTGTCTTTGGCCGGCTCGACGCCTCAAGATCCTTCTTTAACAACCTTTGACAAGTTTTCCTTCATAAGACTTACAACATACGATGTCTTTGCAAAAAACCTTTAAATGCTCAAACCCACGGCTATGTCAAACGATGATATAAATACAGTTTAAAAATAATTGAAATTTAGACATTCTAAAAGAACCATAACATACCTCTCTAATTGGTTTTACCGTCGAAATGGATTTGCAAGATGCAGCCGAAGCACTAAGGGCCGAGAATTTTTGGCATATTCAGAAATGATCTTTAATTAACAACACAAAACTGTGTAAATTAAGAGGTTTTAAACCAAATCAGCCATGATAGGGTAGAGGACTTATGGAAAAGAAACGGACTTCGTTCCCCACATCGACAAGACGGATTACTATTTTTACGGCAAAGTAAATTACGGCAAAGAGCTTTTTGAGCAAAAACTATTTGAATTAATTTTAAGCACCCTTAAGGCCGGGAACACATTACCCGATGCAACGCTATGCTACGCTACCCTATGCTACCCGTCCCCTTGCCACGTTTTAGTAGTCAAGCGCACGCCAAGTACAGTCACACAGCGTATATCACAAATCAGTATTACAATCGCAACCCCTCTTTTGTTCTTAATGCATTATTTTGAGCAAAACCTTGTAATAAATTGTTAGTTAAATTTTATGAGCACAAACATCTAATAAATTGTTTGCTAAATTTAACTGTTTTAAATAAAGTTATTCCGATGTTTTGATAAATTTTCTTCCTAACCATCATAATTAAATAATTTTTATAAAAACTAATGATTTTTTGATATCGTTTAATTTGATTTACATTAAAATAGGAATGTTGTAATTCATATAACGACAAAATTATATACACTTAGTTTGAAATAAACAGCTTAACTGGGAGAGCGCATGCATGGCATGCAAGAGGTCAGCGGTTCGATCCCGCTTAGCTCCACCAAATGTAAATGCCAGTCATGGACCTACCTCTTTGACAGTTAAAGTTATTTGCATTACTACGTAATTAAAAAATATGATTGACCTGTTCTGACGCTACTCGACGAAAATGGTGTAAATTTTATTAGCAAAATCATGAAATAAATTTTTAGTTTAATTTTATGAGCAAAACAGTGTAATAAATTGTTAGTTAAATTTTATGAGCAAAACAGTGTAATAAATTGTTAGTTAAATTCATTATGTCAAAAAATGATATTCCGGTGTTTTGATCTATTTTTTACCAAACCATTAAAATTATTTTTTTTATAATAAAAACTAATGATATCGGTTAATTTGGTTTATATAAAACTAAGTATGTTGTAATTCATAGATCAACAATAATACATGTAGTTTGACTAAAAATATGAGTGTCCGGTTCTTTTGTCTTCTAATGCTACTCGACAAAAATCTGGACAGTGGGGATTGCGAAGCGCAGGTTAGGGTAGCATACCATAGCATCGGTCAGATGTGCACGTGGGTAATACAATCTTATGGAAAATTGGACTTGGGATTTGCGTCGGGTAGCGTCGCCTGGCGTTGCATCGGGTGTGTTCCCGGCTTTAATAATTGCACACCCCAACATTCGCAGGGGGGCCAATATTTCTTTTCGCCGTTGTCCGTTGTTCCACTTAAAATCCATAGCCCTTCTGAATTGTATCGAAATACTCTAGGAAAGGCCAAAGTCGTTTGAAACTGGGCACAACTTCAAAATTACCTTTGTTTGAGAGCCAGGGGATACAGGGCAGAGAGGTGACAAAGTAGCCGATAAATTGGCCATGGAAGGTTCGATGATATCTATCGGCCATGAACCCGGAGGAATACCAAATTGCCAAAAACGTTAAAAATAAGTCCTTATTTCGGTGATTACGAGTCCCAGGACAAATAGTAGGAATGCTGGCGGGCATTGCAGACTCCGGAGGTATGTCCTATTTGGTGCGAAGGCCTAAGCAGGCTAAGATTCTTACTTCTGAGCTAGAAAAAGCTAAGATCTTAAGGATACACACGAAAATCCTTAACAAAGCTTAGTGTCTGGTAAAAAGTTTAAACGAAGAGCTATAGATAATAGTCCAATAATGGTCATTGTGCAACCCAAAACACCCTTCAATTGCTTTTATCCAGAACTTTAAACCTAAAGCCATGGCCATTTTACCAATAATGTATGTAATAGAAGTAACAAAATAAAAAAAAACCAACACAATAATAATAGTTAATCAATAACTAGAATAGAGCAGAATTAATTAAATAGTTTAATCAATCGTTAATCACAAATTATTTGTATGAACTTAGTTTATTGTCAATCATTGAGTAAAATTCCTCTGCTAATGAAACAAATAATTTTCTCAAAAGATTTCAATTACCTTTTGAAGTTCAGTGAACTGATTTGGATACATACATATATTTATTTAAGATGCTTGATCATTACTCATTCCCTATTGGGTCCGCCCAATCCCACTCATCATTTTGAAAGAGAAAAATTACTTCCGACAATTTGTTGAACTTGTGAAAATAAAACTAAACGAAAAGCGACGTGCGAATATTTCCATTTCGAGTATGTATTATAAAAGATAATCGTGTTGTTAATTTATATTTAATCGGTTGTGAAAATTCGCAAACTTTAAATTCATTTTCACACCGTAAAGCATTAACGAACGGTTCGTTCCCGTTTGGTTTATTATCTTTTTCTCTTAGGATAGTACTAAGTATCAGTAAAGTATAAGTAGGAAAATAAACTCTTTCTCTGGCAATCGAGGTGTTCAAACTTTACACGTTTACACTCATTTATGTAAAACGAGACGTCAAGTTGTGCATTGAGTCTGAGGCAAATCGGATTTCCTCCGTACTGCTGACTCGGTAAACCTGATAGCATCTGGCAGCAGGCCAGGAAGAAGTGCCTCCGGTTGTCAGCAGTTGTCCCCGGGGTGAAAATCATGCCAACCCCTTTGATTCCTCGCCTTTGTCAAATTCATCACCAACGATTTTCATCAGTTTTTTCTTCGGTGGAAACAAACTACGTAATTCTATTATTGGACTTCACGATCTCTTATTTGTATTAACAAATAGACATGCTCTATTTAATTTCTTACCTTTCAAAAGATCCGGATTAATCTTATTTTCATCAGTTGATAAAAAAAATCATAAAAACATATAGCTATTATTAATGTATGTTTAACATAATTAATTTCCCGGTGGTCAAGTAATTAGGGCGTCCATCACGCTATCGATTGTGGGTTCGAATCCCAGAATAGCCCATTGCTTTTTAATTGAGAATTGACACTACTGTAAAATAGTTCTGAACCCTTTCGTGACACCCAACGTGTAGTTGGACGTTATCCCTCCTTTACTTCAGAAACTACTTAACTTACTTCACGATCTTATAAATCGGAACACATTTCTCTCCTAACCACTTTGCCGAAGCGGGTGTTCCGCATGGTAGTATCTTTGGTCCCATTCTCTATTCAGTACACACTATACACTGCAGACACTCTTATCTATCCCCATACAGTGCTCCTTACATATGCAGACGATACTTTCAGCCAACCCAGACCCAACAGTGATCTTCAGAAACCCCCACCGTTGTCCTTGGAAGAATGTTTCAAGAAATGAAGAATCATACTCAACCTAGTTAACCTTGTAACTCTTCCTGCAACCAATGACGTCCGCTCTAACCACAAAAGAACCGCCTTATTTTTACTAAACCTGGACGTTCGGAATTGAACTGTGAGGTTCAACCTACAGAAATCCAGTCGCACCAGTCCACAAACCTTCTAACCATTGCCCAAGCTCCTACATCGTATCCAACTTTACTTTCCACACCGAGTTCCCATTTGTTCTTCTCCAACTTTCTCACAATCGTAAGAAGTTAATATAGATGCCTCTTTTAAAAACCCTTCATCCCCAGTTAAACATCTTTCATCTCCAATACTTAACAGCATTCGATAAATTGGGTGCATCTCTCGTATTATGTAATTGTAATTTGTCAATAATTTCCTACGTTTTGTTTAATTATTTTCGCAATTCTAATATCACAGTATGTATTTGTATAACAAGGCCCAGTTGTGACTAATGTTGGTTCATAGCAGTACCTATGTGGTTAGGGGGGAAAGACATTTTCCTCAAATTACCCCCAAGGGAAGGATTGCGGCAGGGGTTTTTTTAATTTCCAAAGCAGTTTGCGTAATAAACGGACCGATTAGGGCAGCCGCTTTGCCCAGAGGAGCACGGCGTGAATTAATGATGGGTGGAACAGTTGCACAGCCAAAAAGCGAGAAAAATTGATGGCAGCCAGGAGAATTACCCAGTTTCCGAAAATAATGAGTTACACGTATTTACGACAACTCTCTTCGTTAAAATCTCATTTTTCCCCCCCCAGTTTTGCTTTGGCTACATAATAATTAATTTATCGATATGTATCACGTGAAGGATTGTTGTTTGTTTTTTAATGAGTACTCTTCTAATCTTATTGCATGTTTTTATAATGTGCACAAATGAAGCTTCATTATTCTTTTTTAACTCTAGCGATCTTTTTTAATCTTTCTGTGATACCTTAATCACATGAAGGTTTACGAGATTTTGGTCGTTTTCCTTTTTAGCGGCTTAGTTTAAAATTTAATTACTAGCTTAAAATTATTAGCTACTTTTTGTTCTGTGCCATATTGTAAGTGATTCACTATTTTTAATATTTCATAAAGTTGACCTGTTTCTCTTCAAATACAAGAGGGCGTATTTATTTATCTACTAAATTTTTTTACTTTAAATGTATTTGTTACCTATACTATACATACTGATCGTATACTATACAAATATGAATGAATGAATAAAGGCTTTATTTACACAAAGTATTTACATTAACTTTACATTTCCAAAGAAAAAGCTAAATTGACAATGTCCTTAGCCGTCTGTCGA